CAGCCAGGCCCGCACCAGCCAGGGCTGCACCAGCCAGGGCTGCACCAGCCAGGGCTGCACCGCCAGGGTCCACACCAGCCAGGGCTGCACCAGCCTCCAGGGATACACCCTCACCAGGACCTCCCAAAGCAAGGCAGTCCTGTGTTTGCCTGAGGAGCTCAAGTCCTGGCTCACCGGGTGCTGGGGCAGCTGGCCTCCAGGGCGCTCATTCTCCCCAGCCTGACTCCCACACTGAGGAGCCATTTCTGAGGGAGCCGGGGGCTGGGGGAGATCTGGGGCTGGGGGAGAGCTGGGGGCTGGTGGGGGGAATCTGGGGCGGGGAAAAAAGGGGGGCTGGGAGAGATCTGGGGGCATGAAGTTTACTGGCTGAATAATTTTGCAGATTTTAAAATTTTGGTGTCCACTCACCGGAGGAGTCCATTCGATCCTGCGTATTGGAAGCTGTTATCGGTACACATATGTTTGACACATCCTGAAAAGAAAAAAAATATATTAAAAAAAGAATGTTTATGTTAAATATTTAAAATGGACATCTTTCTATTTCCGTGGGCGGTGTAACTGCCCGGACGTGCTCGGTTTCCATGGAGACGCCGTGCGGAGTACTCACCCTGTCCTCAGGATGGGCCCCTTCTATCCTCCAGGACTGAATCACGCCTTCCCCGCCCTCGGGCACCGGCGCGAACCGGGTGCCCAGGCCCTGGGGCTGCCTCCGCCCGCAGCAGCAGAAAAGCAGCAAGAGCGGCGACACTGCGGGCGGAAGGAGGAGTCAGAGGAGCTCCGAGGGTCGCATTGTGTTTAGAACAAATGTCAGAGCGCCATTCCCCCCTAAAGAGCCAGTGTGCATGTCCATCTTCATAATGCAAACCCACCAAACCCCATAGAGCAGTGGTCGGCAAACTCATTAGCCAACAGAGCCAAATATCAACAGTGCAACGACTGGAATTTCTTTGGAGAGCCGAAAACCGCCTTCTGCGCACGGGCCCCAGAGATTTAATCACCCTGTACGTGCAGGCCCACACCTGGAGTTTTGTGGAAGAGCCACCCGCAAGGAGCCAAAGAGCTGAATGTGGCTCGTGAGCTGAGTTTTGCCGACCACTGACCTAGACCGCAGAGCTGGAACGAAGCGGGTTTAGACCATGTGTCCTGGGCCCTTCCTGGCAGATTCGGAAAGCACGTCTTTGCTCTCCTCCGAGGTTCCTGAACTGGGTGGTAGCAGGTTTAGGATTCAAATCAGCTGTTAGGATCCCTAGTTCCCCTAAATGCATGCACATTTTCATATGTGTATTCATCCACAAATAACCATCTGTGCCTGTGTATGTATGGGTAAGCCTATCTAATGTAACTGTGTATTAACATTTGCGTAAATATGTACTAACCTCCATGGTCACGTGTGCATGTGCAGGTCCCTGGATACGTGTATGTGCACACACACACACCATCCTCTGTCCAAGAAAATCCTCGGCTTTTTAGGAAGTGGTTCCAGGTCACCTCCACCAGGAAGACTTGCCCGCCCTCCCCCTGGGACTTAGCTGCCGGTGCCTCTCCCTCCTGAAGCTCTCTCTGCACTTCCCACCCAAGGCTTACTTTATAGGGTTTGCCCGTGTTCCCACCTTCATGCCCCTCACTGATTCTAGACCTTTAGTTACCCTTATTGAACACGCACTGGCCCTCACCAGTTCCTTTGTTTAGCTCCAGGTTTTCACAAAAGTTGCCATAGATACTGAAAAGAAGTGGCCAAGTGAATGTGAGCCCAGTTCCACTCTTATTGAAAGAACTGTTGTGAAGAGGGATTGAACCCAGGACTTACAGAGCAGTAGGAGCAGGCCCAGCGCTATCATGCCAATCCCCGCTGGTCCCAGGCCAACATTGGAACCCTCAATGCGGTCGCCAGGGACAAGCCCATCTATGTCGCCGGTCACGGAGCTGCCATCCCCAGTGGAGACGCCCGGAGTGCCAGAGTGCAAGCACGCCTGGCTGACGTCACAGTCGCAGGCCTCGATCCTCACTGTCTGGGGCAGCTCACACTGCCGGTTGAGGCTGTCCTTCACCAGGATCGGGATTTGGTAAGCTCCCGCTGACAGCGGCTGCCCAGCCGTCAGGAGGGCCGAGGTAGCTGAAAGGGAGAAGAGGAAAGAGAAAAGAAATTAAATCACTTGCTGGGGATCGTTCCTAAAACTCAAGCCGGACTTAGGACCTGATCCCTTAGTTATAAGCTCCCTCTGCTTATGAAGAAGCAAAACAAAGAAATGAAAGGGCAACGATTCTGAATAAGAGATAAACAAGTCTTTGGGAGGATATTTGTAAAGTGTAATCCTACATAGATCCGAATGCGGAAAACGTGGCTAGAAATTACTGTTTAAGAATGGACTATTGGACTTGATAGGGAAAGGGGAATTCAGAGTTGTCTTGATTTTAATAGAATTGCTTTAATACGCTTAGCTCTCTAAAAGATTACAGTAGTTTTGTGGAGACAAGCGAAAAGTTCTTATGGGGAAAACGTTTCTTTCTTTGGCTAAGTCCCTAGTGGGGCATTTCGCCAGCATTAGTTTATGGTTTCTCCTTCCTGTGGGTGGAGAAGCTTGGTGGCCTCAGAAAGGGGAGTGTTTCCTTTCACATATGCCCTCCATCCCCCACCCCCCGCTGACCCCACCCCTGTCTCCAAAGTCTTTCCTCTTTTGCTAGGTGAGTGTGAGATTAGGGAGCCAGCTTAGCCCAAACGAGGCCTTCTGAGCATTTCACTTTCTAATCGACATTTAGCATTTCAGGAAAAAGAACCTAAAATATATTAAATACTATGTTGCCTGAAATTTACTCTCCATTTTAATCATTGCTTTCGTTTTTATATAGCAACAATACAAACACACACATTCTGGGATATTTATACTCTTCATGCTTTGGTTGATGCATTCTTTGGTATCTAAATGCTTCACATAATTATAATTTTAATGCTGCATAGTACTACATTTTAATAAAATGTACCACAGTTTGCCCAATTATTCATCTAATATTGCACAATTGGATTTAAATTTTTATCCTAACAAATAAGTCTGAGCTCATAGCTCTTATTTCATGCACCAGTGGGGTCCCTCTGTCTGGCCTGTGGATCAGGCTGAAACCAGCTCTCTGACATTCCCAGAGGGGTCCCGGATTGTGTGAGGGTGCAGGCTAGGCCGAGGGACTCCACTGGTGCACAGTCGGGGCCAGGGAGGGACACAGGAGGGCTCTAGGGCATGACCAGCCCATCTGCTCAGTCCTGATCGGCCGGACCCCAGCAGCAAGCTAACCTACTGGTCGGAACATCTGCCCTTGGTGGTCAGTGCACATCATAGCAACTGGTTGACTGTCCCCTGATGGTCAGTGCATGTCAGCGAGTGGTTGAGCAGCCTTAGCATATCATTAGCATGTTATGCTTTGATTGGTTGAATGGCCAACCAGATGACCAGGCACTTAGCATATTAAGCTTTTATTACGTAGGATTTCTTTGACCTCATATGCTTCTAAGTGAGCAGAAAATGTGTAGATGTGAATCTGTGGCATATTGAGTTTCAGAGACATTTAAGTGGCTTGCTGGAAATAATTTAGGCTTGGGAATTGTGACATCCGGCGAGTTTGTCATGGATTCGGTTTATTTCAAACTATTCAAATACTTGTGTAGCACCCCATCTACCTAAAATAATGGCTAACTGATTTTTACACACTACTATTTGTAAATACAGTATTGACAAGACATTTTTACTTTTATTTCAGTTCATCATTTTTCCAAATAGCATAAGTGTTCATATGAATTTGTTTCATTTAATATGAATATAGTGAGAATTATGGAAACAGAGATAGAAAATATGACATGGCCCTGGCTGGTTTGGCTCAGTGGATAGAGTGTCAGCTGCAGACCAAAGGGTCCTGGGTTTGATTCCAGTCAAGGGCACATCCCTGGGGCTTCGGGCTCAATCCCAGGAGGTGGCATGCAGGAGGCAGCCTATCGGTGATTCTCTCTCTCATCGATGTTTCTATCTTTCTTTCCCTTCCTCTCTAAAATCAATAGGAATATATTAAAAAGAAGTATGTTGTGGCTTGACTCGTTATTGGTAATTGTTTTTGCTTTTGGTCTTTAAAGTGAGCAAGTTGGCCTTCCACTTACCATTCACTGTTTTGATATCCCATAAGTTAGCTGTCCCCGGAGGCTGATCAACAACACAGAAGGAAAAGGGAGCCCCATAGGAATGGTGGTTCACGTCTCTCGCGGATACAAGGATGGATGGAGAGGCGATGCAGATGGCGTTACGATCAGCAACAATGACTGGGCAGTAGTCATTGACATCCGGGACTTCAATGCAAATGGTTCCCGTAGCCGTTTTCCCGGAGCCATCTGGAAGGGAAGCATCGTGGGTGCTGGGGTGAATGGTGTCAGGGAGAAACCCCTTCCTCACAGCCCCTGGGGATCCACAGCACAGAGGAGCGGAGCGAGGCCTCCAGAGATGGAGTGTGGGGGGCCCCTGCCTGCATCACCCTGAAGCCACCTGCCTCTGTCACAACCTCCCAGCCTTGCTGTCTTCTTAGCTTTTGAACAAGCTTCCTTCTAACTCAAGACTCCCTCTTGTCCTAGCCACTCTTCCTAAATGCTTCCACCTCCATCTTACTTTGCCAACTCCTCTGCATCTAAGATGCAAAAGGAAATGTCCTTCCTGGAGAAGGTTTGCTGTTATCAATTCCACCCTGCCCGCATGACTGAGACCCCCAGATAGCTCCGAGCCTCCATTTCAGGATGCTTACTGGCTCCTGGGTTGTTGAAATAACCACAACTGAAATGAAATAACAATTTGTCGATATATTTTCTTTCCATTTTGACTGTTTAATTCCACCCATTAGATGCTATTTCTCTCGGAGAAGATGCTTCAGAAAACAAATATAAAAATATTTCATTCTCCCTCCCCACTACCATCTTTGGAATAAATTCTAGGTTAGTATAGTTTATCAGAAAGGGCAAGGTGCCAGGAAATAGTAGCTGGGTTTCAGTCCATTTTTCTACTTTATGTTCTGTTACGACGAATAAAGAACATGTTGTTTTTAACATGTGAAGGGTCTTAGCTTTATTATGTGTAAACTAGAACATTATCCTCTCTTGGGTATTTTACTGGGTCATTTTTGGAGAAGTTAATAAACTTCTGTTAAAGACAGTTTCTGGGAGCCTCTGTGGAGAGCCATCCAGTTAATCAGAGGAAAACAGACCTGACGGCTGTCGGCACCCTACGTGGGTTTGTGCAGTAGTTTCTTAATTCCTGCTTCGGTGTGGACCTTCCAGCTTTGCTCTCACTGAAAGCCGTCAGATCATCCCACAGGTGGCTGTCTGTCCTGCCTGGTCCTCCGGGGCTTTTTCAGGGCCATCGGCTGTGGGAGCCCACAGCTCAGGCACTGCTGGCAGTGTCTGCCCGTGTCGTTTGCTATGTAAAGAGCTGTGCCCATCATCATTGAACAGGCTTATCTGAACCCCTTGGCAGGCGCTGTGCCAGGGCATACACTCTGCTCATGAATAGCCTTGTGTGTCATCTTTCGTCAATACATTGTTGATGGTGTTTTTCTCTTTATTCACTTGAAATGACTAATTCTTATCCTGGTTTTTGAAGACTTTCTCAGATGATCAATGGATGAACATAGGCTCTGATCAGCACGCTGAGTCCATGCCAGAACGGCCTTTGAAAATACTGGTCATACATAAGGCTGTGTTGCCCCTGTAACTGTCCCAGATGTGAAAAGCGATGCAGACCGGCGTGTATGAGTTGTAACTGCTTCGGTGTTACCATGGTTTCTTTTATAATCTTCACTGCCCATTTCTCTCTCTCGTTGGTCACTATTGTAAAGCGCAGGAATAAACTTAGGGAAACCCGCAGTGTCTTTCTGTGTTCTGTTAGGAACATATCCAGGATTCTATTTTCCTCCCTTGCCGTTACTGACCTTTGTGTTGTTTGTTATGCAGTAGCTGGTTGCCTAGGCAGTGCTCCTGAGAATCATTAACTATTGATAAACAAATGCCTGTTGCTACCCACCAAGAGGAAGCCCAATAGATTGCCCCACGGGCAAAGCAGCTCAGGGACAAGCTCAGGGCAAAGCAGCTCAGGGACAAGCTCCTTCAGTGCAGCTGTGCTGAGGACTTCTGTTCTAGTTTGGTCTTCTGTTTGCAATTACCTGTGCTTCTTGGTTCTTAACGTCTTACTCTGGGCAACGTGACTGACAAGTGGCACTCTCCCAGGCCTCTCACGTGGCTCAGCATCAGGGCCTGCGGGGGCCCTGCCTGTGGGCACCACCTCTCCTGCAGCTCACCCCAGTGAACTTGGGAACATCTTGCTGCCCTTTAAGTAAACATTCCTAACACACCCTGCAGCTCCCAATCCGCCTCAAACGATAAGGCCCTAACCAGAACATGAATTTTCTTTAGATGCTTTAATTTTTATGCTTTCCACTAGGCCTGATACAACTCTTTTTTAGAAGTAGGTAAAATAAATTATGACAGAGGTAAATTGTGGTTATAGTGTACTGAATTCAATCTTGGTCTAAGGCATTTAAACTCTATAAGTCTGGCAGACAGCCCTGAATTTTATTTGAGTCAACCTACTATCAACCTTAAAATAATATTCAAACTTAATGCAAACTAATAATTTTATTAAAACGTTGACTATAAATTTCTTACCATCTATAGCCAGGATCTCTGCTGTGTATATCCCATTGGTAATATATTTTGACTTCTTATCAAATTCCCTAGAAAATTGTATCTCACCAGTTCTTGAGTCAACTTTTAACCAGCTGCCAGCATCATGTCCTATGATATACCTGTTTTTAAGGAAATAAGTTCATCATTTGCTTATATGAAAGTTATTAAGTTTAATCACATCCAATGCATTAAACTTACATATGGCATTTGCTGCTTTACAGTAATAATTGATTTGGATTATAAAATGTATCTATGTCAATAAAATTCTAATATTGAACATACTAATGTGCAGAGTTTTAAAATTTCATAATTCTTACTCCTCTACTTCTTTATATAATTGTTCATAAAATGTTTAAGTCTATTTCAGGTTTGTTTATTAAATCATAGCAAAATCAAAGAAATATCCTTCAGTCATTTCACATGGATGTATCAGTTGTTCCTCAGTTTTAAGGTTATATTGGTTTCCGAGCACTTTATTGTTGACCTTTCAGAGGTTGTGGTATCATTTATTCCATCTGTGTGTATGGGTTTTTTTGACTTGTAATTGATTCAAAGTGCTCGGACGAAGATCTTTTGTCTGTACCAGGCACAATTTTAAGTTCCCATGGCCCTTATCTGACATACCTTTTCCCTCTATCCCATACTGCCAGACTTCATAATTGTTGTTGTCTGTTAATTTGTTAGCTGATTAAATAATCAAACTTGTTCCAATCAATTTATAAGTCATCAGACTGTGCACTCAAAAAATATTGGGTGTAAGAAGGGAGACAAAGAAGGGATATAAAGAATATTTGTATATTCCACTATAATTATTTCCCAGACCATCTTTTATAGGTCCGATTAATGTATTACACACACCTCATGCCCCCAATTTCTCCTTTTCTGTTTTTCATTCTGACTCTCTGCATTATTTTAGCTTCTTCTATACAACCTTCTTTATGAGATCAAGTAGAAGGTTGAAATTAGCCCCAAAGTTATAGATAACACAGGTAAAAAACACAGACAAAACAAGCAGTGACTCATGTTTTATGATGTCTTATTGTTTACGATATGGCTTCGTCAGCCAGATCCAGGGTGGGACCTCTGCCATAAAAGATCAGAGAGACTCTCAGAGTAACTGAAGGTGATTCTTTGATCTTACAACTGCTCCATGGACACAATTACTCTTACACCCAGTTGGCGCCCTCCCAGCCTATAAAACGCTGTTAACCTTCTAAGAACATGGCAGTGCCACACAGTGTCCTATAACAGGTGAGCAGACAAAACAGGACTCCCAAAATGTTTCAAGCCCCACACACTCAAGCACATGCCCCAAGAGCCAGCAGTGGACGGAACCATGCGCTGCCACTCCAACACAGCAAAGGGCCTGTGGTACCTGACATTCGTGGCAGGATTCCCTGTGTCCAAATCCACAGCCGTGTATGTGCCAAGGACATAATTCATCAAGGAGTCCCCCCTTACTCCTTCCTGCACACTGAAAGTCATGGAGTTTGGATTAAACTTGGGTCCTTCTCTCACGTTAATGACCTGGATTCTCACAGGGGTTGAATGCATTCGGAACCGAGAGGCAACTGAGTGGTGAAATTCAGCTTGGTTTTTGACTCCGATGCCAAGATGAATATTAGGCATTTGTTCATAATCCAGCATCTGAAATGACAGAAACGAAAAACTCTGAAATAGCAAAGGATTATTTTGACAGAATAAGAAACCATGTGAGGACACAATACACCAGCATAAAGTCCAGGAGTTATGCAATTCTGATTGTGAATTGATAAAATTTTATTTATTATGACATAAGGTAAATTTCAGACATGTTATTCTCTTTATCTTTTAGATAATGAGGTGTATAGGTCATTTAGGCCTGCGAATTTAAATTAGACTCATCTCTGGAATTTTGAACTTCTTATATAAAAACCCTGGAATGAAAAATGATCTTTCTTTCCAAATGAGGTATTTATGACACAAAAAAAATTAGAATGAATGAAAGAATGTCCATAACTGATAACTGAATACATAGGCCCCGGTTTCCTATGTAGAATTCATATCTGAGCATTTCTGAAAGTATAATCAACAGATTAAAGGAGCAATATTAATATTATTTTGTTAAAATTCTAATTGAGTAGCAATTCCTCTCAAAGTTGAAGTGAATGTATATACACACACATATATATTTGTATTGTGTGTTAGTATTTCAATACACATTTATCAATAAATAGCAAAAGGAAAGTAGTTATTGATAGATAAATTTTTAATTTTTGTCTTCTAAAACCACAAGTTCCTTGAGAATGGAGATAGTCTCATTCACTTTTATATCCGTAGCACATAGTAATTCTCAATAAATTGGAGTTGAGCTAAAGCATTTATAATGCCCTCACACTAAAGAAAAGGTTATAGAAAGCTTAGTCAAGAGCCTGTGACTGAGAATGGCTTGAGTAAAGGTCTTTAGTAACGCCATTCCAAATGCCAAATCCTAGGGGAATTGCACATATATTATCTGAACACACAGTTCTTCTGGCTATGAGCTAACACATATTAGGGGGTTTCGTTCCATCTTAACTAGCCTTGTCATATTATTTTGATGTTTTCAAACATATTTTCTGCTCGCTTTTAGAGACTTGGAAAGTTATGCAGGGAAAAAAAAAATAGATATTTTGTCTACACAGCATCTAATACTACCTTAATCAATTTTCATGAAATTGAATCAAATAGTTTTCTTTTGCAATAAACTAAGTATGTCTTTATTTTTATTTTTTAAAATTATATTTCTTTTTGAGAGAGATAGAAGCAACAATGATGAGAGAGAATCATTGATTGGCTGCTTCCTGCCCGCCCCCCACTGGGGATTGAGCCCACAATCCAGGGCTGTGCCCTTGGCCAGAATGCAATCAGACCCTTCAGTTCGCAGGCTGACTCTCTATCCACTGAGCCAATCCAATTAGGGCCCAAGTATGTCTTTAAAATACTTTGGCTCTCATAGAAGACAATTATGTAAATCATAGATGGTCATTGCATAAATGGTTCTTTTTTGTGTTCATTGGAATGACAAGCATAAAATGTAAAGATTTTTTCCATAATTTTGATGACCACCTTGTAAGTTTGTACACCACATGACTTCCATGCTAATATTTGTGTTTCGTGGTAAAGTAGTAATGTTTTAATTGCTCCAGATAATTTAAAAAAGAATAGAGAAAGACTCAATATGTAAATGATATGTCTGCATTTCAAGAGTCTAAATGGCTTTTGAATGACTAATAAAAGTTTCACAGGAATAGAGAAAAGAGGTGACAACATTGAATGATCACCAGGCTCATACTAAGTGTGTCCATGCGTCTGTCTGTATGTATGCTCATAGCTGCAAGTTCTGTCTATGTTGTTAGTAGTAATTGTATTTTGAGAAACTAATCTCCTTTATTACATCGATGTTAGTTTGAATCTTATTAGTTTGTAGTTTTGTTTTTAATTTGTACCTTTAGATTATATTGCAGCCCATTAAGTAAAAATGCAGAATAGTTTGAGAAATGCTAATTTATAGGAAAAAGCCAAGCCCTGTAGGTTGGTATTAAGTTTCTCTGCATCTCCATTCCTGAATCTCGTTGCTTCTCTAGGCGGATGCTCTGCATGGCTCCACCAAGGTGCTCACATGCCCTGCATGTGCATTATATGTTCCCACCTGTATGCATGCTCACTTCTTTTCCCACCTGAACAGACTGTTAGAAGGTCCTGCTTAACTTACTCCCTGTATGAAATACTTTCAGACAGATCTAGCACAAAAGCATGCCACCTCTGATCTCAGTTATTCTCTCATATTTCACCCATTTAGCAATTGATTATGTTTAATATGACATCTGTACTACTATTTATTATGTTTTTTTTATAATGTACTAGAGACCCAGTGCACGGAATTTGTGCACCGGGTAGGATCCCTAGGAGCTGCTGGCTGTGGGCCAGGGCCTCCCTTCCCCTGGCCACCTGCGCCATGCCAGCTGGGTGGGGCTGGCCGGGGAGAGGGGCCATGGGCAGTTGGCCAGCTGGCCCTGCTCCTGGTTCAACTCCCGGTCAAAGGGACAGTTTGTATATTAGGCTTTTATTATATAGGCTTTTTATTGATTTCAAAGAGGAAGTGAGAGGGAGAGAGAGATAGGAACATCGATGATAAGAGAGATTCATTGATAGGCTGGCTTCTATACACCTCCTACTAGGGATTGAACCCACAACCTGGGCATGAGCCCTGATTGGGAATTGAACCATGACCTCCTAGTTCAGTGGTTGGCAAACTCATTAGTCAACAGAGCCAAATATCAACAGTATAATGATTGAAATTTCTTTAGAGAGCCAAATTTTTTAAACTTAAGCCATGTAGATAAGTATATTGTTATTAATTAGGGTACTCTTAAGCTGGCCTTTGCTAAAAACTCCAGGGGCCAAAGAGCCACATGTGGCTGGCGAGCTACAGTTTGCTGACCACTGTCCTAGTTCATAGGTTGACACTGAGCGAGCTATGCTGGCTGGGCTATTTATTATGTTTTTAACTCCCATATCATTTTCTAATGTGGGGGTCCTTATCTTGACTTCTCAGCTAGACATTGGACACTGTGAGAACAAAACAGCCTTCTTGTTTTTCTTGGTAACAAACAATGTGTGGCTTGGCTGGCGGTCTCAGCCTGACACAGAAAGCTCATTTAGGGTTGGTCACAGAAACAGTATTCAAGGCTGTGGGTTGCTTTTTGTAGACGGATCCTGTCTCTGAAAGTGTCTTAAAACATCTTTAAAAGAAAAAGTTGTAGATCTCATACTGTACCTTGACAACTCTCAAAATGCCTTCATTGGTTCGTGGGTCTGTTTGAATCTCGAACCAATTCCCATCATTCCCGGAGAGAATTACATATTTCGCCAGCCAGTTATCTGTGCCTTCCTCATCAAGATCAATTGCTTTTAACCGCATCAGTTCCGGATTCAAACAGTTCTCCTCAATGCTTGCTGAGTACTGAGTGACACAGACCAATTTCATAATCAGTGAATTTTCAAAAGAAAAAAGTTAGTTTCAAATTGTGAATTATCATTTAAATTACTAACAACAAACTGTCAGATATTTTTACGTCATTATTAAGTGACTTATATTCCATAAGAAATCTAAAAATAAAATGATTATAAGATAATGGACGTGATTTTCATGTGCTATATGTAAAACCAGGGCCAGACTCTATTGTTTCATTTTTATTGTTTTTAATTTTCCAAATCTACCTCCTTTTCTATAAAAGGCCAGATAATAAATATATTGGATGTTGTAGGCCTGCAATTAGTGCTGTAGCTACTAATTTTTGCTGCTGCAGCATCAGAGCAGCAAGAGACAACATGTAAAGGAATAAGCACCGCTGTGGTCCAATAGAAAAAATATTTTTTACCAAAAGAAGTGGCCAGCCAGATCTGGCTCTGCTGATTTTGATTTTATGCTTCTTTATGCTTAAGGATGAAATTGAGAATGTTTGGGACTATACTTAGAATTGATTCAGTAAATCATCGGGCATATAAAATCCATCAACATTGTTAAAGGATTCCCAGAATGATGTTAATAAATTTCTACACTTCTTCGAATGGAATATATGGAGGAGATTGGTCTACGGCTTTCACAGAGGAGATCATTATGGAATAGTGACTCAAAGGCAAATACCCTAAAGATGTCGAGGTTTATGTAGCAAAGCTGAGTACATCCATCCATGTGAAAGAACCACATCTAGTGGGAACGTAAATTGATGATTGGCTTTTATGTAAAAAGATCATAAGAGGAACAGCTTACGGAGGTTTTCTCCAAGGTGGGGAAATTATCGTTGACATCTAAGACCTGGATCCTACAGGCACACTCAGAGGACAGTCCATCTGCAGCTCCGTCTCGGTCCGAGCCCCGCACAAGGAGGTTATACATACTGTGCTCCTTGATTAAGGTGAAAAAGAATTATAAGACTTAGGTTTTGAGTTGAATAAAACCCAAAACATTCTGATGTCTTTGTTCCCTCATTCTTTTATAACTTTATATAATACTTTATATACTTTTTCTTCTATATAATTTTCATTTAAAATAATAGTTGGATTCTTTTTTCCTTCCCTCCTTTACACTGGATGGAGGGCATACATGCGTTATTTCATCTCTGTATTCTCAAAACTGTGTGTCCTTTATTTCTTCGCATTCATTCGCGGAAGGCCTTACCTCTCTGTCCAGGAAGCTGGACATGGTGCGGACCTCGCCGGTGTACCTGTTCAGGATGAACATTGGCGCACCTGCCGGCTCCTGAGAGATGATCTTGTAGGCGATTTTAGAGTTCAGGTGATTGTCTTCATCTGCATCGGTGGCGCTTAACTTCACCACCAGCGTGTCTGGGAATGAAGAGGGAGAGGGAGAGTGCTGGGGACTCTTGTTAAAATCAGTTTGGTAAGTCAGCAGGCAAAGGAAGAATGGTCGGCCTTCCTTCTAGTATCCATGACATGGACAGGGTGGGGCAAAAGTGGGTTTACATTATTTGTATGGACAGTCATACAATCTCTACATATAAAAGCCTAAGTGACTGGTCAGCTGCTTGACACATCTTTGGCTTGACTGGTCAACTGGTCGCTATGACTCTCAGTGACCACCACGCTCAATGCAGGAGCTTCCCCCTGATGATCAGTGCACTCCCACAGGGGGAGCTGCTCAGCTGACTGGGATGAGTGGGTCCGGGATGAGTGGGGCAGCTCCTCCACAGATCCCCACAGGTTACACCGAGGGACCCCACTGGTGCAGGAATCCATGCACTGGGCCTCTAGTAACTAATAACTAATAATATAAGAATAAACTGTGTTTCACGTACTCACACCTATGAACCTACTTTTGCCCTACCCTGTCTTACTATAACTTTACTAACAAAAATCACAGTGACAAAAATCACAGTGGTTTGCTTCTATAAAACTCTTTACAGTTTATAAAGTCCGCACACTCCTTAAATGCTTTAAGTTACTTGTATTTCGATCTCCTGAAGCTTTTGTCCAAGAGGAAGGGAAGTGCTTGGTGCAGAGAGGAGACTGCCTACTCACTGGCATCGCTGTTCTCCTCGATGCTGCCCGTGTACACGTTCTGTGTGAAGACCGGAGGGTTGTCATTTATGTCCATCACTTTGACTCTAAGCTCCAGGGGCCTCTCTAAGTCTTCACCCCGCGCATTCAGAGCCCGGCAGTAGATCTGTGAAAAGTTGGAAAAAGACTGTCTTTCTTCACCAAAGGAGATTCAGTCACGTGCTTAAAAATATCTAAATAATTTTCTCAGTCAACTGAGATTGTTTTTACAGTCTAGTACTAATTTCAATACGGTCAAAACATCTGATCACATGCTTGTGCAGCACCTGAGAGAATTCTGAGCCATAATCTATTTTCATCCTCTTCCTAGCTCCCCAAGCCCTGTGTTCAGAGGTAGGTGTTAGTCCGGGGGAAAGCATTTTTGGAAGGTATCATATGTCTCAATGAGAGCACACTGCCGTGACTTACCAGGAAGAGGGGCGTGATCTCTCTGTCCACCACGGAGGTGATGTTGATCTCCCCCGTGTGAGGGTTGATGGCGAACACCCCGTACGGCGGCCGGTCGATGCCCACCCCCGAGATGCGGTACGTGATCTTCTGGCTCACTTCGCAGTCCGAGCGGATCTGTGGGGAAGTGGCGGGACTCAGGGCGGGCTGTGAAGTTCACCGTGTGGTGGGATGGGAAGGGAAAGGCTCTGGAGCCGGATGGGGCTCCTATTGAAACCCGGCACCATGACATAGGCCCCGTGACCTTGGTAAATGCACCAATTTTGTCAAGTCCTGGCTCCTAATGGGCTAATACAACTCACAGCCTGGGCTTGTTGTGGGGATTGTACGAGGAAACACATATACACCCACGCCGATGACTGACATAGGGCACACCCATACCGGGCGTAGATTTGTTATTCACGTTATGTTGTTCGCGTCTCTGCTTTGCACATAGAGAAAGTTTAGCAGAAGAACTCAGAATCTTTACTTTTTTTTAAATAAGAAGACTGTTGTATTAATATGTACCCTGCTTAGACTTGGATTTGAGATTCAATAAAAATGGTAGGTCATTTGAAAATCAGGAGGGAAGTACAGTGTTTAGAGATAATGGCAATAATTTTATAAATCAAAACCTACCATATCACTCACCTGCCAAACAGTTTATGGCACATATTCTGCTATATCTAGATTGTGTTTTCATAGGTTTGCATCTATGGCTCATAAAGTTAAATAAATGTAGTTTAAAGTTTGAAATCTAACCTATGTACCAAAGATGAGAGCACTCAGTAAAATACTAAGACTTGTTACCCAGATATCCACAATTAAATAAAGACAGCTGGAAATGCAACTTGGATGAGCTCCACTCTAGTCCGAAGATCTTATTTATATAAACAAAAACACAGGAAATCCCTCAATTGCAAATATAAAGGAAAGAATATAGAATACCCGGGGAGGGGGAGGGGGGTTAATATAAAGCTGTAAATGTGAGTTGAATGGGAATAATAATAATAATTTAAAAGCTTTCCAAAACATTGAAAAGATCCGCGAGAGAATACATCTCTTTTCTTGAGCTGAGACTATGTCTGTACTATCACTGCCGGTGCCTCCTGTGTTCGGTGGAGAGCTTTAAGGACGGAGTTCTGATAAACCACTGCCCGGGACTGCAACAGTGGCCCGAGGCCAAGAGCCCAGAAAGAGCTGGCGAAGCTGTTCATGTGGATCCCGCCCTTCCCCGGTCAGCCCGGACCTTCTGCCTCAGTGCTCCTTCCTTATTGAGAGTCGCTCTTCGAAATGCCGCCCAGGCTCTCCAGACTCCTGCATCTGGGGAGACTGTGGGGCTGCTCAGGAGAATCCCGGTGTGTGCAGACATGGCCCAGAACGGGCAGGCGAGGAGAAGCAGACATGTGTGTGCAGACATGGCCCAGAACGGGCAGGCGAGGAGAAGCAGACATGTGTGTGCTGACATGTCCTAACATGGGCAGGTGAGGAGAAGCACAGGTGGACGGACAGAGCCAGTGGAGCTGGAGGCCAGGGTCTCTCCCAGACCACCCGGGAGCCTCTGCCCTGCAGCAGCTCCCAGACGTGATAGTCCAGGGGGGGCCTTGCAGCCCAGCACCAGCTCCCTCGGTGCGGGCGGGCAGAGCAGTGGAGCCGCGGCCCGGCATGCTGAGGCCTCTGCCCTCCATGGCCTTGGGTGGCGGATGCCCTAATGGCCGCGCCACTTACCCTGGCGATGGGGTTCCGCTTGGAGTTGTCCTCTCCTTCCCGACACGCCGCCGCGAACTTGATCCACTCGCGCTTCTGCCTCCTGACAGTCTGCCACTTGGTCGTGCCCTTTTCCACGTCCAGCTCCTTGACCTGGGGCGGGAGAGCACAGTGCCCGTGTCAGGACGGCTTTACCGAGGGAGGACATTGGCTGGCACGGCGAGGCACGCCCCGAGGAGGCCGGGTACTGAGTCTGAGGAACAAAGTGCTGGTACCACCTGCCCCCTCCGGGGAGAGGGAGCGTGGGCACCCTCAGCGCTGCTTCTTTGTGGAATCGCCCCACGGCTGGCACATGGGGCTGTGAAACACTTTGTGAGCTGAGTGTGGAGCTCGTAACGTTATATCGGGTAATATGGTGTGTGTCTGCAATCTTTCTTCTTTCACTCTGCCCGCTGATTAGCAGACATTGGCCCAAAGCATCCACGGAAACACTTGGCTTTTGCCAAAAGGTCCTCGGTATTTGGCCCCTTTCCAGAAGCACTCATGGGGGTGTCTAAGCAGATCCATCTGCCTGCCCTCACAGGCCCGTGTCAGTGAGGCTCCCCAGGCCAGAAGGTTATTATTGGCCGGGCACCCACGACACAGTGACTGGACTAAAATACATGGCGATATTTTATGTATCACTCCCGTAGGCCGACAGCATACATAAGAGTTAGGGGCTGATTGAACCCAGGATGCTCTCTAAGCTTGGACAGAGCCACATTCCGAGGTCCAGGTGGCACGGACCACATATGCTCAGTGATGTTCAGGGTCGGGCCACATTGTAAGGAGCTCTCAGTGTGGGCGGATGTGTCTGTGGCGATGGGGGGCAGGAGCCAATGTTTCAGAAGGTAGGCACCTTGCCCACCTCACTCTTTACGGAGCCCTCACCAGGCTTTCCGTCTCCAGAGGTTCACAGCTTGCGGCTGTGCCAGGGGAAAGCACTCCTGGGAGGCTGGGCTGGTGAGGGCGCTGACTCAAAAGAGAGGAAGGATGCTTCTCTTCTGTTGGTGAGGACACCACTCAGGCTGTGTATCCAAATAGACTATTGCAGGGGAGAAGAATGTCTTAACTGAAATGATGGCGACCACCATAATCCCACGGGCACCTATATGGATTCTCAATACTGGCTATGTGTCTTCATCATCTCTGCTTGCTGTGTGTTTTTATAGTCTTAATTGCTGTTGTTGGAGGGTTTTTAAGAGTTTACTAGTGTACTATTAAAAACTTCAGAAATGTTACTACATGCATGAACATTTTTGTGTACATGTGTACACATGCACACACACACATATATTTTTGTAACTCTTTATATACTTGTTGAGACACAGATAATTATATGTTTTCGCTAAGCTTCATTTAATTACCACTTTGGGGGGAGGAGCTGCTCCATGCGATGGAGCTTATACTTTCAGGAACCAAAGCATTTACATTTTCCTCTATTTTGATGCGACTTCCTAAAAGTGTACCACTTATTGTCCATTTTGTCAACAGAGATACAGTAATTATATCTTCTTCTATTATTTGATATCAGAATGAAAGTGTAACTGCTATGATAAAATAAGTCCTCCCAGAGAAGATAGCTTTACTTTCCGAGCCCCCTCTGTGGCCCCGGGCTCTATTGTTTTATTTAGTTGTGATTACAGATCTTTTTGCTTTTGTATTTCGCCTCATTGATTGACCATACATTTATGCTGATGTAATTGTCTGAAACTCCTCTTTCCACTCTAACGTGTTGCTTTGCTTCTTTTGCTTTGCCTTAAGTTGGGAAAAGGAAATAAGCTATTAGTAAAGTTTGTGGAGCAGGAGTTACTATGATGCTGACCTGTCACAAACCTTGCCTGAAAGCAGGGACATTTAAAATTATGGGCTGCAAATATTGCTGTTTTCAAATAGTCTGATTTTTGGTATATTATGCATTACATGATTCAGTTTTTCTTTCCATTCTAAATTGAGAAGGTAGTTTTAATAATTGCACCTTACCTCAACAATAAATTCGCTGTTTACTTCCAGCACCACCTGTTATAGAAGACACAGCATTAGCATAAATTTGCATAGTTTAAAGGCAGTCGAGTCCTGAAATTATTGACAATATTCTCTGATTGATTAATTCATTTCTTAAATACACATTTTGCTAGTGATATGGAATAACCATGGGTAATACAAAATTAATAATACAGGTTTTTCTCCACAGAGGCTTTTAAACTTTTAAGGAAGCAAACACATAACTAAGGAAAGTTAAGATATGGGCTTCAACGGAGGCACCAAACTCACTGGATAGTTTGAGTGGGAGGAAAAGCAGAAACCCAGGTTACCCCGTGGATTTCAGGAAGGCCTCAGGGGAGAGGGGTGTGGAAGAGTCTGCAGGAGGAAGCTACTTTGGTAAGAGAAATTGATGGAGGGAACTTTTTCAGCCGGAATAAAACATGAACACAGGTGTAAGGGAGCTAGGTTTCTGAGAATGTCCCAGGAATGGGAAGTAATATTATTGGCTGGAAAGAAGAGGAAATAGTGAGGAGACATGGGAGAGGCTAGGAATGTCAGTTGGAAGGCAGATCATGAAGTGATTTATGTACCAAACCAGGGAATAAAATACGGGGATTGACAATAGCACCGTTTTAAAAACACATTGTTGATATGAAGGGAGGGTGACGAGGGAAAAGTACTTGAAGTCAAGACATTTAAGAATGAGCAGTCGCTGGGTGAGACACAATTAGGACATGAACATGGGAAAGGAGAGAAGATGGAGACTTTTCCAAGGAACCAATAGGACCTGTAGATTGTGGGTACAAGGGGAGGATGTAACTTAAGTTGGCTTATTGGGATAATGGGGGCACTTTTAATAATAACAGAGAGTTCAACAGGAGAGGGTCACTGCAGGGAGATGATGCTGAGGTTTCTATTAATTAATTAATTAGTTAGTTAATTTTATTGCTTCTAAAATTTGGGATAGACATAAAAGATGAAGAAGTGAAAATTTATCTAAACAAGAGTGCTATTTAAAGTTACAGGAGGTGAGGATATTCCATTAAAAAGTTTAAGAAGATCAATAAAGTAGGCAGAGAATAGACCCTTATATAGGAAATGCTTATAATTGATCAGGGGACAGAAGAAATAAGTCTAAGCAGAGAATAGAGAGGGCGAGGGACCAGGTTTGTGGGAGCAGAGCAGATTTTGTCCACACGAAAAGCTCAGAAGTGGGTGGTGGTGGCCGTGGTGGCAGTGGTGGTAGCCGTGGTGGCTGTGTTGGTGGCCGTGGTGGCTGCGGTGGTGGCTGTGGTGGAGGGTTGTAAGCAAGCCGAATTCCGAAGGAAGAGATGCAGATGGAGAAGAGGTGGCCGGGAAGAGGCGGGGTGAGTGGCACGCAGGGATAAGAAGTTGGCTGGAGAGGAACCATTTCATGGTTCATGTCTCAGAGCAAAGTCAGGGAGACTGGGAACTGAGGCATCCTGGGAGTTTGCGCAGGCAATCAGTGCCAAGTTTTGCAAGTGGCATCAGTTTGCAGGAGACAAGGAACACGTTGTTGAGAAAGTGGAAATAGCAATCACACATAACATTTTCAAGTTAGGAGTTAAAGGACGTGAGAGATCTGATGCAATTTGAGGAGTTAATTAAATCAAGACTTTTTTAGGTTGGGGAACCATGACGACATATACAGTCCCCAGGGAGAGGAAAGGGGTTTGCGGAGGAAGAATGGTAGGTGGAGATGAGAGAAAGGGAGGGGCAGCAGAGGCAGAAATCAAGAAGTTACAAGTGTAATCTAAGAGAGATGAGGAGTGGTTAATCACAAGTGCATGGAAGCGGGTGTGACCACACGATACAGGTAGTGCATTATGGGGCTGTGCGCCTGAACCCTGTGTGATTTTTGTTAACCAGTGTCATCCCAACAAACGCAATACGAAGGAAACAATAAAGTGCAAGGAGCCAAAACCGGTTTGGCTCAGTGGTAGAGCACCGGTCTGTGGACTGAAAGGTCCCAGGTTTGATTCTGGTCAAGGGCATGTACGTTGGTTGCGGGCACATCCCTGGTGGGGGGTGTGCAGGAGGTGGCTGGTTGGTGTTTATCTCTCATCAACGTTTCTAGCTCTCTATCTCTCTCCCTTTCTGTAAAAGATCAATAAAATATATTTTATAAAAAATAAAATAAAAAATAAAGTGCAAGGAAGAGCCCTGATATGAAGAAGACAGTCTCTGCCTCTGAAACAGAGGCCGGAAGGACACCACGAAGAGGAAACCGTTGTGAGGTGGAAGAGCAGGATAACTCGTTACATAGCTTTTCAGAATTGGAGTGAGCAGGGAGGACTATGAGGCTTGCCTCTGGTTAGCAGGTGTGATCTGGACCTATCCCCTCCCCTCTCTCTGAATCAGGTTCTGACCTCAGGAGGGTGAAATGTGGAAGTACTAGGTCCATAAAGAGGAAGGAAGTGACAGAAGAGTTTCCCCTGAGCATCAGAGCATGCGCACAGCACATCCTAACATGGGAGGTACCAGCCAGTCACTGTGAAAGCGTGGTACTGGCCTCAGCACTCTGGAGAGGGGGAGGGGAGAAGAGAGAGGGAATGGAGGGGATGGGAATGAAGGGATGAATGGAAAGGTGCAGGGGAATATAGTCCATGATAGTGTGATAACTGCCCGGTGACAGACAGTTGCTAGGCTCGGTGTGGTGAGCACATCACCAATGATATAAATGCTAAATCACTGAGTTGCACAATGAAATGAATCTAATATTGTATGCCAGCTACACTTCAACATAAGTAATAATTAAATGCTCCCGCCTTGAAGGAAAAAAAAAAAGAAAGAAACCACATCAAGCAGATGAGTGCTCAGCTGGAGAGAATGAAGGAAGCGCGCTGAGTTCCCCTGACCTTCTCCTGTCTCCCCACAGAACCCGTGGGAACGGAGGGTAGCAGCATCCACCCACCCCCGGTTCCCGCCATCCTGCCCGGTGTCTTCTCGGTGCCGTGCCAGGGTGTGCCCACAGACAGCTGTGGTGCCTGAGGGAGCCAGTGTGGTCCATCCTGGCATTTCCCTGCCGACGGGGGTGCCCGCAGCCTGGCCCTCCACACCGGCCCCCTCCTGCAGGCCTCACTGAGAAACAGGGGGCTCAACGCCCTGCCAGGAGGCTCCGCTTTCCAGGAAACACCTGGGGACGGGTGTCGTGGGTGAAACTTGGGGACACCGCCTTCTGAAGCTGCCCCGGCATAGCTGCACCAACTCCGTCAAACTGCAGGACGTGACGGCTTCCTGGTGAGCAGACAGGCCCGCCTTTCGGAGCCCCCTTTCAGCGCTGCCGCCGCCTGCCCTCCGAGGACGGCTCGGCCTGGGCCCGCTGGACACAGCACAGCACACGGCTGACCGTCACCGTGGAGCCTGGACGGAGGCAGAGGCTCTGCAGGCGAGGCAGCAGGCTTGGCCCAGAGAGAGGCCGGAGCCAGTGGTCCCGCCCCGTGGCCTGCGGGGAGAGGGTCTCCGCCTCCTTCCCCGGGGTGTCCTCACTCGGAACTGCACTCACTGCAGGAACTGCACCAGGACCTTCCTGGCCAAACAAAGTGCCCACAGAGCCAACGGGCATGCGTCTGGGTTCATCCCAGAACGTGGTGGAGGCTGGGCCGGAGCACCTGCCCGAAAGGAGCACCCTCTGAAAGGGGAGGAGCGCAGACAGATGAGAGGACCCGGAGGCTGCAGAAGCTGCACGCAATTGGTGTATGTTTCTAAGTCAGATAATTTATATCTTGAAGTGGATATATAGCCCTAAAATATAGATTAGCGTTATTAAAAGCAATAATGATAATATTATTAACAATAAGCTCTGGGACGATGGGGAGCTCTGGACACGGGTTCCAGGTCCTGTCCGGACTGTCTGTGCCAGCTGGGCTGTGGAAAGCTCCTTGTTTGTGCAGCGGGGCTGCTTCCGTGTCCTTCCGGCGGGGCACAGAGTGAGGCGCTTCCTCTGGGAGGCGGCCGGTGAGACGGAACACAGTGGAGACGGGTCCACAGGCGTTCGCACGGCCTCAGGGAGGGGAGAGCCGACCTCAGCGCCTCCATCCTGAGCCCTCACGCTCGCTCGGAAGCTCACTGCCCACGGAGGCGTTGCCCTTAGCACGTAGGTGGGAACACGGCGAAGTGACTTGGCAAGAAAGGCAGATTGGAGACAGCATCCATCCATCCGCTCACTCCCTCCCTCCCTCCCTCACTCCCTCACTCAGAAAACGTCACTGAGGAGACTGTGTGACGGCACTGTCCTTGGTGTGCGAGGTAATTCTGACCTGCGATGGTGTGTCTACATTCTGGGGAGAGTAAGAGCCGGTATGCTGTAGCCATCCGACTTTTGGCAAATTGCTGAAGCTTTTCTGGGCCTATCTTCCTTTTTTAATTCCTCCTCCTAGAGAGATGATGGCTTTATGCAGAGTGAGATATGCAGAGTCTACGTCATTCCATGTGCAAATGGCAGGAGAACCACGTGCTACGGCAGTGTTAAAAGACACTCTGGCCCCCGAGTGCGCTCACGTAGCAGCTGCCCAACAGCCTGTCTCCACCTCCTGCCGCCTTTTCGAAGTCAGTTTCCACGGCATTTGCACCCCCAGTTCCTTATTAATAAGCAGTCCCCTCCTGAATAATACTTGTAAAGTAATTGAGTAAAGCAATTACCATCCTTGTGGGGCTCCGGCAGACATGCCAAGTTCAGGCCTAATTACAGCACCTTTGTTAGTAATTGAAGGTGTAGCCGGTGGTGGCATTTCAGCAGGCGAGCTGTGTAATTTTCGGGGGAGGAGGGAGGGCAGACGTTTCCCAGGCTGGGGACCCGGGAGGTTTCACCATCTCCCCCTTCACACCCCCGTCCCAGGTCCACTGTCCGGAGTGAGGACTCCCGCCGGGGTCCCGCCAGGGGAGGGAAACACACTGCAACCCACCCCCCAGGCTCCCTGCTCTGTGAGGAGTCCTCCCGGAGGCTCAGGACTGGAAAGGAGTCACAGACTCCGCTCATCAGCAGGAAGTGCTCCCAAAGAGCACCCCGCAGAGAGGAGAGGGAGCCGCACAGCGCAGAGCAGCATTTTCACGCCACGGTTCTAGAAACACGTTATTGGCGGGCCTGCCGTGAAGTTCCAGGGCTGAGGTGGTAGTGACAGGGCGTATCTCTCCGGGCATGAAAAGCCCTGTTAGTCTGTCAGGCACTCCGCAGAGATTGGAAGGCCAAACTCTTGGTCTGTCCCTTTGGTTTCCAGTGTGTGTTGTCATGCCTCAGTCACAGCGGCACGGAAGCACCAGGGGAGGTTTGCATCTGTGTGGCCTTCGGTGCGGCGAGGACAGCCGTGATGTCGTAACAAGCCGTCTTGGGACCGATCGTTTCATGCTACCGAAGGCCGAAACCCCGCATCAGATAAGATTGTTTGTCATCAGCCTGCGCCTCTAGAAACTTGCCTGAGAGTAAAATAGATAAATACAAATTTCTGTTTCCCCTGGCACACTCACAGTGTTGTAGGTGAGAACTGACCTGATAAGTGGCCAGGTTAGTTCTAAATATGTTGGTCAATTCTGATACCTGTTTTCAGTGTATAGTAGATAACACCTACTACTATATGTGTAGCTGCCTACCCTCTTTACTTTCCAAGAATCAGGACATTTAATGGAAAGGTTAACACCTCATGCAGAGCATGAATGATCACCATTTGTGCTCAAAACATCTCATCTGATAAACGCTACGTGGCTGTTTGTATGATCTTATCAACACAATAAAATACAGCCTCTCATAGCTATTACCTGTTCTGCCTTAAGCGATTCCTTCCTAGTAAACGTACACACTCTGGAGCTTTGCCTGAATCTTTAAGTTCTCCATCCAAAGTTGGGAGAATATTTGCGAGTCAGTCTTGAACCTCACTGAAGGGAGCCCGTGTAGAGCCTTGGAGCTTCTGTCTGGAGGAACCTTAGCGACAGGATTCTGACCACACGTTCTCCCGCGGTGCACTGGGAGGCCCCAGGAGCTGGTGCCTGAGCCAAGGTTGTGCAGCCCCTTGAGGAGAATCCGTGACTTCCGTCCGGAGCTCCTGAGTCTCGGTTTAGTGCTGAGGACACTGAACCACCCCGGTGTGTGCGACAGCCCGACAGCCGAGGGACAGGAGGGGCGCCCTTGGGAAGGAGGCGCTGAAGGGCTGGTGTGATGAGTGAGATGCCTCTTGTGGCTGAGAGCTGGGGTAGCTTTTATAGGTTCAGTCAGACCCTGTTTAAAGTTCTCTTTGTGGTTGAGATACAGATGACAGAGCGAGAGGCCGCCACACCCTCCCGGGGAAAGCTGCAGGGATGCCAGAGAGCCTTTGATTTAGCTAATGAAGAGGGGGCCGGGCTGGAGGTCAGGAAATGAAAGACAAGCAGCGCCCTTTCCACAGCGCCCGTAAGAGGAGATCGATCCCCCTGGCACATGCTCGCACTTGTCCCCACCTTGACACATGCTGGAAATCTCTACGCCCTAACTGCAAAAGTTATGAGTTGATATCTTAAGAGATCTAATAGAAATACAAAAGAAGCTTCAGGCTACTACAATTACTATGAGATATGCAACAGAAATACTTTAACACCTGTGGAGGGAAAGTAAGTATCAAAACACTAAAATTATAAAGGAAAATAAATGCATACTACCAGAAAGAGATTCTACGAGTCTGAAATCTAATACTCTTTCAAGATCAAGGAAAAGAAAATTCACTCTTCAATTATGTAATATTGCCATAGGATATACCTGGGGAGAAAGGAATAGGAGGCAAAATTTAGTGCCCAGCAGTTGCCTCAAAAATCTTGATGCATACAATCGGTTGTCCTTACAGGAAACAAAAGGTTTATCCGAGGCAAAGCATGGCGGTACCCCATAGACGTGCTGTGAGGTCTATGCTAATAACTCTTCATTTCTGTGAAAGATGGCATCAGATTCTTTCTGCTTACTTTAGTAATGCCAGGAAAGGATGATCCTTATAGCAGGGCAGTGCACTTCTATTTGTATTGTTTTAGTTTATCGTTATTTTGCATAATGGTCTTGTTTAATAATATGTCTTCCAAGTTCAAGGAATGGGATGTCCTACCACTGTTCCTTTTAAGCTTGGCTGTGCACTGCTTTTGAAGTTCATAGACATGGACTCCAGAAGAATGGTACCTGCTGGACCAACTGGATACGGTGTCTTCTCATATCTGTCTGGCTTCAGCTCTCCTCTGCCCTCTGCCCTTCAGAGCGGATGCTCAGATGTGTCATGTCTAATGCCTTCCTCACAGTAGGGTGGGAATCATTTTGCAAACTCATGTCATAGCACCACTGCCAACATTCCTGGGACACTGAGGTGCAGCAGCCAGTAGGTAATTTGCCTCTATATACTTAGAAAAAAATATGCGCAATTTTCTAATAATTCACTTCTCTTCTCTTTCCACTTATTTTTCTTAACTGTTATTTTAAACAAGGAATATGTTTCTTTCACCCTTTTGTCTCCAGCACCTACCACAGTCCCGAACACAAAATCAATGGTTAATGAATAGCTATTTATCAAGTAATAGGCAAAAGAGAAATACGTGGTTTACCTTAAACATGCAAAGAAGGAAAAAGAAAACACATTCCTGTATCATGTTAAATTGCACCAAAAATTGATAGATGTACGGATGAGGTGAAAAACACAGGAATGTCTTCCTTGCTGTATATACAAGAAAACACCTTGGAGATGGACAAGTGAGATTGAATTGTTGTGTCATTTGACCATCAATAGGCTTGAATCTAATCTAACCTAGTTTAATTGGTCCTTTAAATAGAATTTCCTAATTGAATTGGCAATAGTTCGTCGAGTTGGCCAACCTTCCCTTTGTTCCTCTGAGAGCTGGCAGGGCACCGTAAGCATGTGCCCGAGGAGATAGCACCCCGTGCCCTAGCACCAACGGGCTGGAAGGAAGTAATGAACAAAACGCCACATTTACTTCAGAGAAACGGGTTATCTAACTGTCTCCTTCTTGGACTACAGAAACGCTTTAATCATCCAGAAGGGGTTCCTTGAGGGCTTGCTGTTCTCCTTTTTTCCTCATTTCTGATCGGAAAAAAATTTCACACGACGTAACTATTTCATAATTAGTTGCAATGTAGTTTGGACCTAGCTAACGTTCTCCCACCTTGAAGGAAACACACAGGGGAACAACTGTTTAAAAGGAATGGGCTGGATTCACTTCGCTTCCCTTCAAATTTAGAACCCATTTGCACCGGGGCTTTTGACAATCATCTGTTAGAAAAATAGACGTAATAAAATAGGAACATTACTTGGTTTCTGATGATAAATTTTAGAGTTGTTCTAGCCTTTCATCTGAATTAGAGGATGTCCCTGATTCTGCTTAAGGCCAATTCAGCCAGATTCTCGCTCTGCTTTTCTATAGCAAGTAGCCCTCACGCTTGGAGAGACCTCTGGAGTCGCCAGAGGCTGAAGCTCTTTGCTGGTAGGTGGACAAATGGGTGAAATCCCACGTAGGACGCCCAGGGGACGGAGGAGACAAGGCTTTCCCTCCCAAGTCTCACATTCCACTTACCAGGAAAAGCATCAGGAGGCGAATGTTCCTGAAGAGGAGCCAATCCATGCCTTCGGGTTGCTCTGCACACAAACTCCAGTGAGGTTGGAGTTCAGTCCCAGAGGTCGGCTCCTGGATTCCGCCACAACAAGACGTGCCTGGAGATGCCTCTAGGAAGGCATGGGGCTGCGTGCTCTCTCTCTGGGGCAGAGGAGTGAGGGTGTTCTAGAAGGACTCCGTCTCTCCACCCCGCTCTCCGCGGCTGGTCTGGAAGGCTGGCATTGTTTGGGCTCTGGGTAAGCACATGGACACACCTTGATTCTTATTGCAATGAAACCCTTTGTTGGACACCAAAGAAAAAATCTTACAGTGTGAAGGCAAGATTTACAGGGAAGATACCCAATGAATAATAAATTACTCACAACATGAAAAATAATTAAAATGCTAGGGCCTATCATCATGCTGAATAAAATTAGTAGGCTGCCTCTTACAGCCAACATTGTAAAAGCAAAATTACACATACTGACAGCACACACACACACACACACACACACACACACACACACACAGCCACTACCAAACCGGCTTCAAGGGGTGCGTCTGCGCACAGGGCCTGGTGAAGGGCACCGGCCTGAGGGTGGTGCGGGGAGGAAGACGGGGGAGTGAAGCGCTCCCCTTTTCACTGGGACGATTCCTGCTCCCCTCCCCAAGAAGTCTCTCCCAGCCCTGCTTTCTTCATTTTAAAGTTGTTCTGAAAAAATAAAGTTAAGAAAAGAGAGGCTGATTTCATGGGTATGTTTGTTTTAGCATCTTTCCCCTGAATGTACAGTCGGACCCATCAGATATAATATAACATTAAATTGCTTTAAGGTAACCACAGTTCTGAGTCCTCCCACTCCTTGTGGCATTGCCCCTGGTAGAAAAGTACATCATGACAACACTGGATAAACTGCCTGAATATTTATTAAGAAGAGACTGACATCAGAAACCTGAGAATTTCAGGGAAAAAGACCAGAGCAGCATCTGGATGTTTCTGGAAACCATTTCCCTTTTTCACTCCTCACTTCCTCTTTGTTGTGTGGGTTGAGAATAGGGTATAGTTTCCTCATGAAAATAATATTATAGGCTCGCAGCAACCTCAATAAGCGTAAGAAGAGATTAGTCCAATGGTCTGCCGTCATTAATATGGGTGGGTCAGGGAATTTCAAAGGGAGACTGTACCCTGTCTTCACTACCCCATCATGCAATCCAGAACAAGGCGGCTCTATTTCCAGGGTGGAATGTCTTCCAAACAGCACTTAGTGTCCTGAGAACCTCAGCTTAACAATTTTGGAGAATAGGAAAGAGTCAAGGCAATTAGAGGGCTGGCATAGTATCTTAAAATAAGGGGAAATGAATTATATGTTGAGATATTTATGAGAGAAGGAAATTATATATAAGCAATGGGAAAAAATGAATTGTTGCAAAAAGGTAGTATTTGAATATACTATCTGACCAAGCTGAATCTTGTGTATTTGGGGATATCTGCCTAATTCAAAAATATCTCTGCCGACCAGATAGGGCTTGTGCGTGGTACCATGTTTTGTTTTTTAATTGATTTTAGAGAGGAAGGGAGAGGGAGAGAGATAGAAACATCAATTGTGAGAGAATCATTAATTGGTTGTCTCCTGTACTCCTCAAGCTGGGGATTGAGCCTGCAACCTGGGCATGTGCCTTGACCGGGAATTGAACCCTGACCTCCTGGTTCATAGGTTGATGCTCAACTACTGAGCCATGCCAGCCAGGCCACGTTTTAAATATATCCTAGGTAGTTCTCTAGATTGTCTAGAATGCTAACAGACATACAACATTCATTGGATGGTTTAGCAACCCATCATTTCATTATATCCTAGAAGATAGGTCTTTAAACCGGAAAGCTATGCTTGAGTAAAGGAAGCATTAAAAAAGTTCGTAACTGTTTTATATCCAGCTGAGCTTTCCTCATTTTTCATTTTCATGAATTTTTACCCAGAGGTTTGAATGTGACAATTGTATCCACCACAGAAGCCTTTTCTTTTACTTATCAGTCAGAACAGCATGAAATTGAGATCTCACCTCCATCAGTAGTGCTGGTGAGCTTTGGGCTTCGGGGTGTGGTGGCATTTTCCAATCGGTTCTCTGTATGTGGGAAGCACAAATGGTGCTGCTGCTTGAGATTGTTTCCAAGGCACAGGATGATGTGATGTGGTTCTCTCCTGTCCAGCCGGCCAAAGGCCTTCTTATTGGCTATATTTGCATTGTGGCCTTTGCTTTTATTTTTCTGCTAGAGGCCCGGTGCACAAAATTCATGCACTCGTGGGGGGTGTCCCTCAGCCTGGCCCACGCTCTCTTGTAGGCCAGGAGCCATCAGTCGAACATCCTTAGAACTGCAGTAGAGGCAGGAGAGGCTCCTGCCACCACCTCTGTGCTCGCCAGCCAACCGCCTGTGGGAGTCACTGACCATCAGGGGGCAGCTCCTGTGTTGAGTGTCTGCTCCCTGGTGGTCAGCGCACTCCATAGCAACCAGTCATTCTACCATTCAGTCAATTTGCATATTATCCTTTTATTATTAGGATAAATCCCTTGACTTTCTTTAAAAATAGGCAAGGGCTGTAAGAATTTGCACTGGGTGGTGAGTTGGGGATATTCCTTGGATGACTGTGTATATTTCTTTCTAGAAAGATACCACAAACAGCTATGGAGATGGTTTGGATCTTGTGGAGATTTAATGTGCAATACTGCTTAAGATTTGAATTATAGAAACATTGGAAAATACAACGTGTCTCAAATAAAAGGCTTAAAAGACACATAATTGATATCCTCTTTCTATGTGCCATCCAGTTTATCATGACTCATGTACATACAATTCTTTTTGGTATCTGCATCTAAAGGGGAAATGACAAGTTGGCAGGGAGTCTGTAGAAGTTTCGGGAATATGAGAAGATGGTAGAGAATATATGGAAGCTTCAGTGTTTCTAGTACTACGCTCTGGGCTGTCAAGCAAATGTAAGTGTGGGAGACCCTTGATTGCCCTGGGAGTCACTGCAGAGCAGAAGAGAATGGGAGAATACAACATGGGATGCTTCAGTGGATTTGTGTCTATGAACAATAGGCCATTCAGAGCCTCAGAGGGAACTAAGGCATCTGGGAGAAGTCAGTGGCTCTAATGATGGTTTTGTTTCCATACCTTCTTCCAAGCAGGCTCAGAGACAACCTACAGTAGTGTATTATACTAACAGACATTGTACAGAAAGTTGGCCATTGTTTAGCCAGCTAATGGAAATGATTTTTGTTTTATTTCAGTTAATGTTGAAGTTAAATTTTCCCGAGAGAATTAATGAAACAGGTCTAAATACCTATGTGCTATTGTTTTTCACCAGGGGAAAATTATGTTCTTCATTTGCTATAACAGATGGATATATTTCACAAGGGTTTCCACCCTTGGTGTTTGCACTATGATTGGTTGGTTTCTCTTGAAATATAAAATTTTCAATCTACCCGAGTTGCTATTCATAGGATGAGTTTCAAAGGAAAAAAACAACAAGCAGTAGAATTGGGTATCTGATTATTTAATTCCTCCAGATTTCTCCATTTATAACCCCTAATTTCAATGGTCCTTCAAATTCAAATCTGGAGATTACCATCATGAGCAGATGCAGAGTCTGCAGTAACTGAGAAGTTGCCACTTGAAGTTCTGGCACCTCATTTATATCTACTCCTTGAGAGATTTAGTTGGATGGTCCCAAAAATAGAATCCCCAAAGGATTTCAATTTATTGTTTTAAAAATATTTTTATTTATTTCAGAGAGGAAGGGAGAGGGAGAGAGAAATAGAAACATGAATGATGAAAGAGAATCATTGATTTGCCGCCTCCTGCATGTCCCCTACTGGGGATCAAACCCGCAGCCTAGGAATGTATCCTTGACCGGAATTGAATAGGAGACCCTTCAGTCCGCAGGCTGATACTATATCTACTGAGCCAAACCTGTAAGGGCAGGGTTTCAATTTAAACCCTCTTTAAGGCAAAGCTTGTTCATGGTTTTGGTCTTAGATAAATAGCAACTACTTCTGTCTCTCTTGTGGGGCTCCAGCCATCACATCCTGCTGATGTTTGGATATATCCCAGAGATTATTTAATTCCATCTCTCCTGTGCACTTTAGAGGTAGAGGTACAGTTTATTAGTGCTGATGATAGGGAAAGTATACTGCCTCCTGCTTTATAGTCAATTAAATGCCAAGCCACTTTCTAATATTGGCTAGATATGTGAGGGCAAAATAGAAAAGAATTGATGGCTAAATGTTACCTTTTAAAAAACCACACACCTATTTTATAGGTTTACTAAATTATTGAGCTCAATAGCTGGCTCTGCAAGCAGAATTTTGTCCTATTACTTACGTTTCTCTATTTGTGTTTGCTACTAAACCAGCAACATTTCATCCGCTCCTGGGGAAGTTCCCGTCGACTTTCAGGGATGCTCTTGGCATTTCAGTATTGTTCTTGTGATGTGGTCTCATCCTGCTTCCAGCATAGTGGGACATTTCCATCCGCTACATCGTATTCATCTAAAACGTAGTAAGTGCCCTAACGCTTGTATTTTTAAAGGAATGCCATACAAGACATCTCATCCAACACGTTGCAGTGCAAATTCTTTTTTGAGAAACAAAAATGTAATCTCTACAGGCCAAATAGCATGAACATGATGTTAGGGTAAATTTTCCATCTAATTATGATGGTTTGGGACTAACGATGGGTATTACTGAAATTCCCAAGGGCAGTTAGAGGAGAGGAAATGTTAAAAATATTTATGGACCTAGACTATGTTTGTCAGATGCAGCAGGCAGGTAGGCTCTGGAGTTGACTCAGGCAGAAGGATTCCCACTGGCATGGGCCTCGGGAGATGGACGGCAGGTAAACACAGCCTGTCTTGGCTGTGACCTAGAGCAGCTGCTGTGCAAACATGCCTGACTGTTCACCTCCAGATAATGGCGCTGAAGGTAAACAGCCCGTCTCCTCATTAAAGCCAACCTCTGTGGAGCGATAAGGGTGCCAG